TATCTATAGACTCAATGTGGATTGTAAAACACAACATGGTCATAACGAATCACCACTCTACTATCTATAGACTCAATGTGGATTGTAAAACACAACATGGTCATAATGAATCACCAGACCACACTTTGTAGACTCAGTATGAGCTCCATCGTAGCAACCTCTACGATGGGGACCGCGAGTCCACAATATGTGGGTTCAATAAAAACTCCAATACTTTATGTGAAATACTCTCTGGACCTTTTTTTTGTCAAAATAAGACTGCGATTAATGTACTTTAACCTCACATGAAAATGAACACTTTATGTATTTTAACACCACATGGCAGTGAACACTTTATATACTTTGACACTCATTATAATGGATACTTTATGTACTCTAATATCACGTGACAATGAACACTGTGTACTATAACACCACGTGACAGTGAACACTTTTGTTCTCTGCCACCGAAAATGTTACGACTATGCAAAATCCAATACCATTAATGCTTTATTCGGTTTAACACATAATTAGCCAAACAGGAAAAGTTCCGAATTTTTCCTTCAAATTTACAGTCCATCTGGTCAGCTCTTTAGCCATTGTTGACTTGAAATTTAGACATGTTGTTTAGTTTCGTAATGAAACATTCTTAGTATCATGTATTCCTATAGAAACGTGCTTGTATCCTTGTTACCAAAGAATGGTAAAAACAAGACTACCTTTCTGATAAATGGCAAATAATCTTTATTTGGTCCATAAATCTTTTCTCTCTGTTTTGGTTGTAACTTACGACGTCGGTAAAGCAAATAGATCCTTACATTATCATCGTCTAGTAAAATAAATTAAACAACCGGATCTCGAACATTTAATAAAGTGTTATTGTAATGGTGAATCAAATATACTGCATATATCCTAGTATTTAGACAAAAAGCAAATGGACATTTTGATGTGAGTTAATGTTTCACTTTAAGGCGCCTTTTGACACCCAGATAAAGATTTATCCTCCAGATGACCCACATCTAATGTCCTGCTTTCTACATCATAATCTATTTTAGCTCTTTACAAGTACTGTAACAACCAAATATCCAGTGATATAATATTTGGGTCTCCAGAACAAGTACAGGTTACCCTCATCTAGTAGCCTGTCTTCTGCATCATAATCTATTTGGAGGACCCAAATATTCTATCACTGGATATTTGGTTGTTACAGTACTTGTAAAGAGCTGAACTGTGATGCTAGAAGCCATAAAAAAGGACAATACTGACACTACTAGTAATTATAGGAATAGTGTCATTATAGAAAGCTTCATATCAAATACGAGTTTCAGGTATAGTGGTCTAATTATCATAATATCCGTGTTTTTAGTTTAAACAGAAAAACACTCCAACTTTACTATTTTTAGCCGAGATAAATACAATCATCTGATTGCAATAAAATCCAAGAATATATTTGTTTAAACAGTTTTCATTCTAAACAGCGACTGGTGTTATCAGATGTCAGCAGAATGGATAAAGTCTGAACATATTAGTGATAAAGCTCTAAAAGACACAATAAGGCATGCTAAATGTCAGTAAAAATTCACGCATATATCATTTAAGAGAGTTTGTTTGCTGTCGGATTATTCACAGAGCTCGGAAAGTGTTGTTAGAGATAAGTGACATCATCGAACATGAAACGAAATGGAAAATTCATGTGAACACTATTATCAAAGTAAGTGGAGGAATCAGATGTCAGATAAGAAAAGATAAGGATTAATTTCTTATCTTTGAACATGTATAAATTCAACAAAACGAGAACTCTAATTTGAAGCAAAATGTGCAATATCAAATTCAATAGGACAAATTTCTCCAATCAAGTACGCGTACATATTATAATGTTCTACACGCAATTTACAAAAAGCTATTAAATTACTTAATATTTTATTCCAAATGGGTTAAACCTCTTATTTTGATGTGTATTTCAGCACGTGCGCATATTATAACGTTCTACACGCAATTTACAAAAAGCTATTAAATTATTTAATATTTTATTCCAAGTGGGTTAAACCCCTTATTTTGATGTGTATTTCAGCACGTGCACATATTATAACGTTCTACACGCAATTTACAAAAAGCTATTAAATTATTTAATATTTTACACCAAGTGGGTTAAACCCGTTGTTTTGATGTGTATTTCAGCACGTGCACATATTATAAAGTTATACACACAATTTACAAAACCTATTAGATTATTTAATATTTTACATCAAGTGGGTTAAACCCCTTGTTCTGACGTGTATTTTAGCCTCAGTTTGTTCCAGCCCATATACTGATATAAAACTAGTAAGAGTTTAATTCACTGATGTCGTTTTGTATAAGTTTATTCCTGTGCATTTCAAATTACCTTTTACAAT